ATGTTGATTTTTTGTTAAAAAAAGTTTGTCGGACTTCGATATTCCTGAAATTTCGTAGGTCCATAAAAAACAGCCTAATGACCAATACACATTACTTATTCATGAATTCGGGTTCATTTCATGGCGTTTTGGGGTCATGCAATACGAATTTGTGATTATATCTATTTTCTCTTGTGTATTAGTACATGCTGATTTTGTATACATTTTTTGGCGAACTCCATATTGGCCTGAATTTTCGTAGGTCCGTGAAAAATAGCCTAGTGACCAATACTCATCGCTTCGCAATAACTTTCGGGTTTATTTTTTAGTATTTCAGGGTCATGCAATACAATTTATAATTATATCCACTTTTTTGTGTGTATTAGTATATGCTGATTTTGTAGATTTTTTTTTTTGACGAACTCCGATTGGCCTAAAATTTTATAGGTGCCTAGGAAATGGCCTAGTGACCAATATTTGTCACTTCGCCATGAATTTCAGGTTCATTTTATGGCGTTTCGGGATCATGCAACACGAATTTGTTATTATTTTCACTTTTTTGTGTGTATTAGTACATGATAGTCGTGTAGAATTTTTTTTACGGACTCCGATTAGTCTAAAATTTCGTAGGTCCATAATAAACGATCAAGTGATCAATACTCATCGCCTCATCATTACTTCTAGATTCATTTTTTTGGAGTTTCTGGATCATGCAAATTTATGATTATATCCCGGTTGGCATTTGTAAAGTGCTTTACTGTCTTATACTATAATTCGTTTTTATTTGGTTACTCACTTATGCTTATCATGAGATAGATTTATCAGTAATTACCTTATAAATAACTTAGTTATTTAAATATTTTTTACACCTTCAGTGCATAAAACTTGACTTCTTATTACTACGAGTTTTCCAAAAGATGGAGGAAATTTCATCAAGAATTAATAGCCTTAGGATGTGCTAAGACACGTGAAATTTTCAGGTGCCTCTTTTGTATGAAGATGAAAAAGAGGGTATTTTTTCAGTTATGTGTCAGTATTTCCTGTCCAAGTTTGATATACAAATCATCAATGATGTTTTGGTGGTGAAGAACCATAATTTAGCTATTTATTTGGGAACCATAATTTCGATTTTTGGGATATATATATATATATATATATATATATATATATATATATATATATATATATATATATATATA